ACAGGAGGTTGAGATCATACTGAAGCACCTCACAGTCGTCGGGAGCATTAGTTATTCTCCAAACCTTCTCCAAATCTACGAGCATGGCACACAATAATCGAAAAAGCTGAGGCAATTAGTTGATGTGGATCAGGAATAAAACGGGTCCCCGTGCCTTAAGGTACACTACTGGTGGAGGGACATCAGCCCGTTAGGTGGTCATCCACCAGTACTCTCCATTTCCGTCCAAAAGGGAAGTCACTGATCTACTTGTACAGTGAGCTACCAACTCAGCTTATTGAGAAGCACCTCATGGTTCACTTTGTCTTACACTTTACTGAAATCAGTGTAGATCACATCCACCGAATTCCCCCGGTTCACCGCTTTCAACCATTCACGCAGCGTCAACAGAAAGTTAGTGATAGAGGAGCAGCCTTTCATGGAGCCGTGCTGTGCGGTGGTCAGGTGGTTTCTCGAATCCGGCAACTGTATTAGACCCCTTTCCACGATTTTCCCGAGTACTTTAGTCCAAATGGAGGGCAGGGAAATCGGCCAGTAATTGTCCACCTTGTTTAGACCACCGTCCTTCGGAATCGGCTTCACTGTCGAACATTTTCAACCACACTTCATTGCATCCTCGGACAACGATCTGTTGTTGTTGTTGTCGTCGTCGTTGTTGTTGTTGTTGTTGTTGTTTTTGTATGATGATGATGACGATGATGATGATGATGTTGTTGATGATGATGATGATTACTGGTTAGAAATAGCGAGTAGAGTTTGCTCTGTGTAGCTGCATCAGTTGTCACTCATAGACAAATACCCGTTAAATTTTGTTCCGCTCAATATATTTTGCGTCGGCAAAGTGTTTGTCAAGGAAATTCTTAAATTCCGACACTGACTTTGCCTCAGCTACGTGCTGCGGCAGGTCCTTCCATACATTCACCACTCTGCGTTCGAATCAGAGTTGGTGAACGACCCATTTCAAATCCGGTACGACAAGCTTATACCAGTGCCCTCGTATGCTGCTTGGTGTGCTCAGATGAAGCAGTGCTCTCAACATAGGGTACTCACCCAGATGTAATATCCGGTGAGTCATGATGATGTCAACCCTCAGTCGACGATAAGCTAGGGTGTACAGCCCCAATTTCTTGCACCTTTCTTCGTACGGCACACCTCGTAATTTGGGAATCAGCCTGGTGGCTACATGCTGCACTCGCTCAAGCTTTTCTACCTCGCCCCGGGTGATAGGACAATACGTGGGAGAGCCATACTCTGGTCGTATTATTGAAACGAAGAGGCGAGAGGCAATCTCTTTGGACCAAATGCTGAAGCTGCGTCTGAGCACCCAAAGCATACGAAGGCTGTTTTGATAAATCCTATTCCTGTTGTCCATGGACTTTAGGTCGTAGCGTGAGAGTACACCGAGGTCGCGCATGAAAGGCGCGGGATGCAACGGTTGACCAGCCACCGTGTAGGTTCGACTGTGCTCACACTTACCCAGCCTCATGAATTGCGACTTGACCGGGTTGATCGGAATGTTGACCTCTGCAGACCACGTGGAGAGGCGGTCGAGGTCCTGCTGAAGCAAATCACAATCATTGGGTGTGCGGATTACTCTCCACAACTTCGTCATCTGCGAACAACGCACAAGGTGATTGGAGTAGCTGAGGCACATCGTTTACATAGATCAGAAACAAAATCGGCCCCAGTACAGTGCCTTGGGGCACGCCGTTGCTCGATAGATACCAGTCAGTTAAATGGTTGTCCACCTGGACCCTCCACTTTCGATCAACAAGGAAATTCCTGATCCATTGGTGCAGCGAACCACCAACACCGCACATCCTCAGCCTGTCGAGGAGCACTGCATGATTTACCTTGTCAAAAGCCTTACTGAAGTCAGTGTAAATGACGTCGACTGATTCAGCGCTTGTTCAGTGCTTGTAACCATTCGTGCCTCGTCAACAGTAGGTTGGTGATGCACGAGCGACCTTTCACGAAACCATCCCGTGCGGGGGTCAAGAGGCTTTTCGACTCGAAAAACTGCAGTAGCCTCTTCTTCACGATCTTCTCGAGCGTCTTTGCCAAAACAGCGGTCAGGCAGATCGGCCGGTAGTTATCCACTTTGCTTGGGTTGCCACCTTTCGGTATTGGCTTTACGACTGCACATTTCCAGTCGCCGGGTAATCGTCCAGTGGATAATGACCTGTTGAACAGCTCAGTTAGAGAAGGCGCAATGATGGCCGATAGGGACTTGAGAATCAGTGGGTGGATTCCATGTGGCGCAGCAGGCTTCGTCCCGTCAAGATTTGCTAGAAGCTTGCGTACATCTTTAATACTGCAGTCTAGGCTGTCTAGTTCAGCGGGAGCGGTATTCGTCGAACTCGTTACAGACACCTGGTCACTTGCAAACACGTAGGAGAAGTGCGCCGCCATTGCGGACGCACGATCTGTACTCGAGGTTAGGGACTGTCCACCTGAGCCTTCTAACGCTGGGACATTGGCTGCAGGTTCAGGCACCACTTCACGTATGCGAAGATTCTTTCGGGAGAAGTTTTTGCGGCGGTTGCAAGCTCCTCTTCGAAGTTTCTGCGTTTTCTTGTTTTCGCGTTGTTGCAGCGATTTCGCTGTAACTTGTACGCCTTGTAGTCCTCATCAGAGCCAGAAAACAGAAAGTTGTTCCATAGTCTGCGTCGTCGTCGGGCCAGTTTGCTGTACTCTTTGTCAAACCAATGTGGTTTGACTGGCCCAACTTTCCGAAATTTGAGGGGTACAAATCGGGCGCACAACTATTTCACTCCCTCTTTAATGATAGTCCAACAGGTTTCAATAGACGAATCCTGTGGTAAAGACCAGTCCATCTGGCTCGCTGCTCGAATGAGGCCATTAAAGTCCGCCTTCCAATAGTTGAAGGCTGGCTCCAGCGGGGGACAATACGGCAGCGGTAGTTCCAAGCTGGCTATGATCATCGAGTGGTCACTCGCTCCCAGAGGCTCTAAGACTTGAATGTTATGCACACGCTGCTCACAGCTAGTCAAAAGCAGGTCTAAGCACGATGGAGTCGCGCGTGCAGTAATGCGTGTCGGTTGGTTGATGTGCTGTGTGGCCCCGGTTTCAAATAGCAACTCCGTAAACTTCCTCTCGACTTCACAGTGGCCGGGGAGAAGTTCAGCCTCAGGCCACTGTATTCGGAACAAGTTGAAATCGCCCATGAGTAGGAACATCTGACGACTCATGTGGTTGTGGACATGTGGCAACCCGTCCAAACAGCGGCTCAGTGGACTGCGATATGCCACGCCCACGAGCATCTCGCAGCGCCTGAGGTGAATCGAACACCATAACTGCTCACATAGATCATCGGCGCTTCGGTAGGCGCTCACTAGTCTCCCACATAAGGAAGACTTTATGTAAACTAGTACGCCACCGCGATCATTAGATGGTCTATCACAGCGGAAGCATGAGTAGCCGCTGATTTCCACTTCTTGGGCGGTTACCTCGGAGTTTAACCATGTATCAGCAAGGCCTAATACGTCTGGTCGGTGTGAGGTTACAAAGTAGTAAAGCACATCACCTTTGTTCATTAGACTGCAGACGTTAGTAAAGGCTACGCGCAGACCGCGATAGGAACCGATGGGCGCGCCTGAAGCATCAGAAACCTGTTGATCCGGATTCGCGAAGGAATCCGGGTAACTACCCGAAAATATAAACTACGGAGATTTGTTTCTCCATCGTCCGCACGTCGCTTTATTTCATGTATCGCAGACTGCATGTTGATGATGATGATGATGATGATGATGACGACGACGACGATGATGACGCTGATGATGATGACGATGATGATGATGATGATGGTGATAATGATGATGTTGTTGATGAGGAGGATGATGATGATGCTGCTGCTGCTGATGCTGCTGCTGCTGCTGATGATGCTGCTGATGTTGATGCTGATGGTGATGTTAATGCTGATGGTGATAATGATGATGATGATGATGGTGATGATGATGATTAATGATGATGATGATGATGTTGATGAGGATGATGACGATAAACGAGGATATCTTTGCCAGTTCTGATCATTCCCATCATAGTTGATGGAAACGTAAAACACAGTTATTTTTTCGGTTCTGCTATGTACCGAATTTTGTCATTTGGTGATGTTGACCACATGCACATCGGAGTTATGGGACTCTACAGCGCGGATAACATGGCCGGGCCACTCATTATGCGCAAATGTCCAAATGGTTTTTTAGACCTGCATTCACACTTAACGCCATCATTGTACGCGGCATCACAATCCACCTGCGTCCAGATTAAGTTTTCTTTGACACTGTTTCTGACTCTGCTGCCTTCCAATGCATGAGAACATATAATGACACTTTCGTAAGATCTCCATCTGACTTTATGATTTTACTCAGCTTCTGCGAGATCTCACTTCATCGGAGGTGTCAGTGGACCAACTTATGGTTTTTCTTTGACTGTTTGTGTTTTAACACCAGTTAATAAAGTAGCAACTTTTCTCTTCGGGGGGTGATGAATCAAAGTCCTGTCGAAGACCCCGAACCAGTTGTCTACTTTTCCCAAATTATCATTTCAACCTATCTCCATTCGCAAATTTTATTCCTCTTTCCCCGTCTGCAGACAATGAGCACCATCTTATCACTCCTATCTGTTCGTGTGATTCCACTGTGTTATTCCTAGGAGGGAATTTGGCCTGATAGATATCTCTGTTGGGCTTTTACAGAAGCGGCTGAGTCCTTACTATATGTCCTTACTATATGAGTGGCCTCCGATGAATGGGTTCTGGATCACATTTTCGAATACACTGCGTGCTTATTTCTTTGGCTCATGTGAATTCACTCAACTGTAATCCTTCGACATTGCTCGAACTTCCGTCTGACTATTTCATCGCTTTCCGTGAACCACCGTAATAATTTCGCCACTCTTCCTGCTCCATTGCATGTCCGCAGGTGAGCACTGGTCACACGATTCTATTAACCTCTCTTTCTGCCCTCCATTGGTTTCAGCCCAATGTGGTGTGCATGATGTTCGCCTTCTCGGAGACATTCAACGCGCTGACGCTGAACGACGTGGAGATTGCGCTGTGTTGTGCGGTGGTGCTGACAAAACCGGGTAAATGACGATTGTGAAATAGCCCACAAAGACATAAACCATTTGCATTTTATTTAACCATAGAAGCTTGTTTTTTTACACATCTTAGACTACACAACTTTGAGTGTTACTCGGCATGTATTTCTATATGTGCTTGCTTCTAGTTAAATATACCCACCACTCACCACAAGATAGATTGTTCCTATCTCCTTGCCACTATGCCCATTTCATTCTCACCCACTAGTGCCGTGTGCAAACTATTTTCTTCCTAGATCTAATTTCTGCATTCGTTCATATTTTTCTAAAGGTGTGCACAGATTATCTCGCGACACCTTTACTCACCTTACTCAACCGGTGTCTTATGAGTAGCAATATCCCTGACATTTATGTGTCTTTCTGGATAAAACCTGTGCATAAAAGGCAAGGCAATACAACCTATATTTCTTGACTATTTTAATCTTTTCTAGCGTGTCGACAGATCCATCCTGCTCAATCAGTTGCTTACGAATGGTGTCCAAACTTGTGTTTACTGCGCGATTATAAACTGCTTTACGAACCGCCTTAAATTCACTAACTTTAACGGTGTAGTCTTCTACACTTTCCTCTGATTGTGAAGTTTTGCAGGCAGTGGTCCTCTCTTTCCCCTTTGTATCTAAACTCTTCCCACACCATGCAACCTTATTGGATGCCAGTATGCTGACGATATCGTTCTGAGATGTAGTACTCCAACTGTTCAGACGTCCCTTCTTCAGAGCTTTGGATGGGTTACTGTTACCATCGTCGTGCCTGTTTCTCATCCAGAACACTTCTAAGTGTTGTGATGCAATATTCTATTTCCTTCGTGCATATAAGCTACAGGCTGTTTGAATGCCACTTCTGCAATGACCGTGAATAAGTGACCCACGCCCCCAGATCGCTATCTGTCAAACACTGGGAGTCATTTATCTCAAAACTTTTCTCCTTTTATTCACGTGTCCGTGACGTTTTGAAAGGCTTAAAGGTCCTCTACTTAAGCGTTTCAAATTCAAAATGTTTTTAGCAGTCCGTTATTTAAATTTTGAATTTGTACCTGCTTGCATTCTACCGCATTGGCTTTATACTTTCGTTGTGATTTTCCCTGCGTTGCTTGAAAAACTACACATTGATTGTCGATCCATGCTACCTACTTCTCGCTACAGTGGAATATCCGACCATACTCTCGTCGACTTCACTGACAGCACGCATTTAGACGCTTATACCAGTTTTTTATGCGAATTTTTCACCCAATCATATTGATCTTTGAAGCATGCTGTCTATTTCTGTTATACGCCTCAAAATTGGATTTCTAGTTTCTCGCATTACATCTCACCATAATTCCATCCAACCACGCAGATTATTGTTGATCCAGCGGAAATCATCGATATAGTGCACACTTTTTTTTACCCGAGTGTGATATGTGTGGACATTTTCCACCGGACACTTCATTCATGTTTATACATTCCCTTTCATACATTTCTTCATTCACATTAATAATTGTAAATGATGAACGTGCACCCCCCCTATGGTGCATTAAACCTTTTTTGACGTGATATGACTTGATTTGTTTGTATTGGCTTGACTCATAACCGAAACTTGCAGTTTTGTAACACATCCACCTTTGTTTACATCAGTGTCCCCAGCCATATCCAGTTGCGGCTTCTTCACCCAGCACAATTTTGTTGTTTAACGGGGATACTGTGTACTCACAGTGCCTTAAACAACTCAATCGACTAAATCAGGCTCCCTCCGTGACAAATATTTCAATATTGTGAAGGACGACGTATTGTAATTGCGATATCTTGCGTTCTGGGCTGGTTGTTTCTCATAACGCTCAACTGCATGCCTTCGACCCTTACGCTTGAGGAGTTGGCTACCTGTTGGAGCTCACGTGAAAAGGATGCTACACATTACCCACTCTAAACATCCGATCCAGTTGCTTTACCTAAACTGCGGTTGGTACGCACTGTACTCTTACCTCAGTTCCTATTGTTGCATCTGGACAACTATCAAACTGATAACCTCGGTGATGTTGTCTTTGAAATACCCGAGTAATCGGGGATGGCCAAGTGCCCCACGATAGTGGTAGCCCACTAACTGTTGCGATCGGTTTATTGATTTCTCATCCTTTATCTAACGACCCTCGTTAACCGTTGTCATGTACATGCCCACTAACAAATATCAGTTGAATATAGGCTCTTATTTCTGTGACAAATAGCTGTGTGCCACTCACGTCAATAGCAGTGAACCTATACCACATTAGCTTCTAACTGACAGGCTGTTTCTCATAAGCTATGTCCAAACCCATTGGGACTGCTGTTGATCTAGTAGATTAAGTTCTTCTGGCTCCCACTATGTGACTTTACTATAAGAATTGGTGGTAAACCCAATTTGTGATCGAACCGCACGGACAAAGCTATCGCTTTACTCTGTCGCTTGCCTAAGCATTCAAATTCTTCCGAACATCTTTTTACTTTTGTAGATCGCTATGGCTTGGCAGAGCCAAATATGGTCTCGGTGATGCAAGAACGCCTTCTTTCCGCTCTTCGTATGCAACTGGAGCGGAATCGTCCGAATGAGCCCAATCTGTTGGCCCAAGTTCGCAGTTCGATTATGCAGTTGGGTGCCATTGGTGTGGATCTGCAACTGTGTGTCCGATGGTACCGTGAAAATTGGTATCGAACCCGACTGGCCCCGCTGTACGCTGAGACCTATGACATCCCACACGAAGAGAACCCCACTGTAAACAATAGCGCGTCCGAATTGGCTGCGCAAGCTGCAAACATCCCAATGATGGCTGGAAACATTCATTCCCGATCTTATGGTCATTTTGGGGAGTCGAATTCGACATACCAGCCAGTCGTAACCTACAACAGTGGACTGGGAGCCGTCGGTGTCCTTTCCAATTTAGCGTATGCCTCGAATACAGTACCTATGTCTCAGGCTGCTCATCATGTCTATCCGGCTACGTCGTTAGCTACTTCAGGAGCCGAATTCGTAACCGAAAACCCCCTATCAAGTTACTATAACACCGCTCAAAATTGCAGACTACCTTCAGGCACGGTGCAACACTATGCGGCCGAAAGTCGATTGCGTTCTGCCGCTTTGCATCACATCCAGCAACGACACGGTCAGCAACAGCGATCAGACCCCCCATTTGACACCAGAGAAACGTACTCCGCATCCAGTCTATCCGGTTCTTCGCCTTCAGCTTCATGTCAAAAACGTACACAGTTGACTTTCCATCCTTCGTCCTCCCCACTTTTGTTGTCCAACGGTGTTTCTTTCACAATGTCCCAAACTACTTCCTCACCAGGAACCGGTGCCTCGCCTATTTGTCGTCCACCCACTCGGTCCCAGATTCTTCCAGGTGATTGTAACACGAGAAGTCCACACCTACAGAAGTCGCCGTTCACAGGTGACGGGCCAAGCTGTTCACCCAGTCCAAGTTTTTGTGCGGTGTCATCACTGCTTCCAGCCATTTCTTCTTCGAGTGCCTTGGTACGCAGTAGATCACACCCATCATCTGCCTCTTCCGGTCCAAGCACTCCCCTGCCCGTTATCCCTGATTCCACCCCGCCAGCTACAAGGGGGGACGGCGATTACACTGACTGGACTACGCCTAGTGAAAAAATGGTGCTACTGAAGTCGGAATCTGTTGATGATTCGTCCGCGCCCTCTTGCCCGATATCGCTGAGCTTTCGGCCGTCAGAACAACATCGGGAGAATATCCGTACTGCAAATGACCTCCAGCTCCCAAAGGTAGATGAACGTAGGACCGCTGAAGATATCGGGGCGGTGTCGCAAAGTGGTCTCATACGATAGAATCTTAATCACTGAACCGGTGAGTTGAACAATAAACAACAATTTATCACGGGTAAAAAAGCAGTTGCTTGACTAGTCCCGTAGGGTGATCCGAGTGAGGCAAAATAGGTCAGGGAATAAATAAATCGTCGGTTTAAGCGACTACAAATTTAACTGCACTGCTGTTTAACGGTAGTTTTCAAAGAGTTGAATGTGGTTATAGTTCACGTAATACGTGAGAAAAATTTAAATAAAGGAAATGACAACGCGTACACGTGTGCAGATTTCTTGGGCCAACGAGATACCTAAATCCAGTGGTAACGTCTATCAACTTACGTGCTGAAAGTGAAAGTGTGCATGTTGATTTGTACTGCTAGGTTGACGCCCGGATATAAAAGATTATATGGCGTAATGTAAACGTATGAATGTATCATCCAGATCGTTTTGCGTACCTTTAGTGTGGGGGAGGAAACAACGTAAGTGGGGAGGGTATTCCATAGTTGACACACACGAAGTGAAAAGAAATTCCGTCGACAAACCAACCGGCTATACTACTGTGTGGGTAGCTTTAACTAGTGACCTCTCAGAATGGTATTGTGATTCTGCTTTGAAAGGTGACGACAAGCGTGATTTGGATTTCTCAAGATTATGTATATCATTATCAAATCGCCACGCAGGCACCGATCTTATTCACTTTAGATCCCAAGGGTTTTCAACACCAGTTGATAAGGGAGATGAAACAGACCCTTTACATTCTTTGTCGCCCTTCCTTGTGGCATTTCAAGTGTGTTGAGGTCGTGCTTGTGCCACGGCTGCCAGGCATGGCTGGCGTATTCCGAATGGGGCCTCCTGTAGGCATCGAGCATCTGTGAGAAGATTGAAAGGTTAAAAGGCCCGAATGCTCTCCGCAAAATGCCAAGGTGATTGTTAGCTTTTTTGGACGTCTTCTCCGTCAGATCGCATTCATTAGTAGCACGCTGCAAAGCTTGATCCCTCAACCTGTGCTCGCAAGTGGATTGATGGCGTATGCTCAATGTTTTACACTCAGTGGCGCTGAAAAGAACTAGGTTCTGATTCGCTCATTCGGATACCATATCGCTCATGCTTTTGATGACCCGCTATATCTTGAGATCATCAGCGAAGAGTAAGAAATTAACATTGATCACTCTGGCAAGATCCTTTGTATAAATCAGGAATAGGCGTGGACGCAGTACTGAGCCCTGTGGAACTCCACACTGAACATCTGTAGGGGCAGAGATGGCACTGCGAACTCTCACATTCAGATGTCGTTGAACCAGAAAGTTACCTATCCACCTGAGAATTAGGTTACCAATCCACAGCTCTGAAGCTTGTGAATGAGGATGCCGTGGTCCAGAGGGCCCAACACCTTTGGCAAGTCCGGATGGACCGCGTCAACTCCCACACCGCTGTCAACAATTTCAGTTCAACTGGAGCGAGTAAGCAGCAGGTTTGTGGTGCAGGACCGGTTCTGGCGAAACCCATGCCGTTCGGGTTCTATGATTTTGCATGCCTCCAAGTAATTCATTAGCGACTCGGCACTAAAAGACTCCATGACTTTGGATAGCAGCGACAGGAAAGGTATCGGGCGATAGTTGGCTGGATCTGCACGATTTTCCCCTTTGTGAATGGGAGTGACGATTCTTTGCTTCTACATTGTGGGAACACACATCTTCTCGAGACATTATTGGAAGAACCTAGAGCTTGGATCTGCTAAATTCAGCGCCTTTAGTCGGATATTATTAGCACCAGAAGAGGTATGCTTGCGTAGGGAATTTAGTCTTTTCAGAACCATCTGTAGTTGCAAACGAGATATGACGTGTCCTGATGGTGGCACACCTTGCGTGAACAGCATAGGCGGTAAGGCCGTGTTCTGGAAGTTAGGGGAGAATTGATGACGTAGGGTGTTGTTCGCTTCTGTTGTAATTTATGCTTGTCCACTTGGCGTGCGGAGAGCAGGAATATCTCACTGCACTTTATGCAGTTTGTTAACATGTCTGTAAAGGAGCTTGGGGTTTAAGCAGAATCTACCGGCTTGATGCTGTTGATGTTTTAGCTTATTCTCACGTACCAGGTTCACGCAATGATTTCGCTGGATAGTGTCCGCTTCCCATGTTTCGACACCCGGTGACACCTTGTATTTTCGCCAGAGTGCATCTTGTGATCATACACTTCCGCGTCCTGCTGCATCTGAATGGCGTTGCTCTCATCCCGCACGAGGCATGTTTCTCGAAGCACTGGCAACTAGCTTGTTGCATTGATGAACAAAATCTCACCAATTCAGCCAGAAATAACCAGCCACTGGTATTAAGGAGTGTGGTCAGAACGGCGTAATCGGTATTAAGATGAGTGTGGTCGACGTTTTCTGCGGAATACTCTGCATAACGATACTGTTTCGATCATAGACTCCTCAATGATGAACACGGGATCAAGGATTCTTCGTTTGTTCCCCGTTCTGAATCTTATGGGGGAGGCAACGTGGTTGTATAGTGGTAATCCAATGATTAGCTTCTACAATTCCATTTTAACACTTATACCATCGGTAACGGCAACTAACACTTACACAAAGCAACACGAAGCTGTTGTGTCAAAAGCGAAAGGTTACCCAGTGGTTACACTAACCAATTGTTTTAAGACCTTTCTGAACTCATCCGTTTTTGGGTCGGCTGTAGGGGCATTTTACGATGTTAACAAATAGTTTTTACTATTGTTTGCATGTCATGTGCCAGTAGTGTTAAAATTCGTGGAGACCGGGATTATAGTATGCAAACTCATAAGTTTGAGCTCATACCATCCATTTTTTGTGTTTTACAGAGCAGGATTCCGTTAAATAGCTCAGTTGATAATGATCTATCACACCGTCGCTACTAACATAGAATCTCGGATTTTCACGGACGTCGCAAACGACTTATAGCCTGTTCACGATTTAACTAATGTCGACTACAAGGAATTAGTAGAGGGATTTATATGTTATAAGTTGAATTTATCAAATACAGAGCAAGCTAGGCAATCGACCCATGCGCAGATAGACAATGAAATCGTCGGCATTTCGCATCCCATCTGGTCCTTGTGCGACTAGTAACAGAAGCCGTACTTTTAACAGCCTGTCGTTGAGATCACTAGTCCACTGGGAACAGTAACGGCCGATATGATAAAATTACTATGAAATAGTACAGCTCAGTCTTCGTTGCTTTGCATGTTGATGCCGCGCAGAGGGCTGGTCATCATCGTCGTCATCATCATCATCATCATCGTTAATCACCATCAATCACTACATATTAGCTGCGGAAGCGAAACACACTATTGTACCGCAATATACAAATATAAGAAAAGGCATGTACTAAACGACGTGGAACTCCAAATACAGGGTACACACTACTTAGTACCTGTATACTTTAAGAGGGAGATCGTGATTGGAGGGGGAAGATAAGCGGGATGGGGAGGAACAAAGAAACGCACAACAAAAACGTCATTGAAGTTGATTCCTTGCCATGTCAACTAGTGTATCCAGCGAGACGTGTTCATCTTGGTTTGGGCTCCAGCCAGGCAGTCGGGACACACCAACCGACGCCAACTTCGAAGTGCGGACTTCATTCCTCTTGACAGCGTCATCGCTTAGTCTCCCCTCCTCTTTTATCCACACCCACGGCGCGCAAAGAACTCACGATACTGGAGTATGTGTTCTGGTATGTACAACACGTGCCCCAGCCATCGGAACTTGGAACGTGAAATAACTGTGCTGAGCAGTCCACTCACTCTTCTTGCGCCAAATACACGACGCCGAACACGCTCATAGCTTAGTTGTTTTGGTGTTCGCCGAGCTAGGCAAGTTGCTTGCAATCAAGTTGTCCAGGTCGGCGAACACAATAACTGAACAAGTCTCCCGAGCTACTAACATTCCCTGTAATTTCGAACTCTCATTGCCCACGCGGTGTTTCCACCAGACATGAGTTAAAATGCGAAGGCAGCAATGATCGAACGTAACTAGCCTCTTTATGTCTGTCAACTGGATAAATCAGGTTTCGCAATCGCACAATCGCATTGTAAATTCTTCATTTCAGGGCGAGAGTGATGTGCTGGCGCCACAAATGGCGGAGATGGGCAAAAGCACCCCTAGCTTTTGCTATGCTATTTGTGATCTCATCTTCAATTCAGCTGGAGCTGATATATCTGCCTAGATACTTGAATTTCTAGACGACTTCTATCTGATCACCCACAAGGGTTAGCGCAGGGTTGGGTCCCTGTCAACCTTGGAGAAGGACTTTGCATTTCGACGATGCAAAACATAGCCCGAAACGACTAACAGCCAATGCTAATTTGTCCGGTGCTACTTAGCACTTTGTAAAGTTGTCACAGATAAGGGAAATGTCGTCGGCTTACTCCAAGTCAAGAAGTCAGTCACCTGGGAGCAGTCCCACGCCTTGCAACTTTTGTTCAGTAAACGCAGCCTCAGGACTTCGTCAATGGCGAAGTTGAAAAGTAAAGGTGATACCGAGCATCCTTGTCTCACACCGCTGGAGATACTGAAGGGCTGCGACAGTTTGGCGTAAGCCCTCACTCTGCCCTCACTATACACGCACAGCGCCTTGATAATTTTTACACACTTTTCGGACACACTTTTCCTACGAGGACAGTCCCAAAGAGCACATCGCTCAACCGAATCGAAGGCACCTTTGATGTCGTAGAACACGACTATGGTGACACGCCGATAAATATGGCGGTGCTCCAACAATTAGCGTAATGTTAAGATGCGATCAATACGACCGCGGCTACGACGAAATCCGGCTTATTCTTCGCGAATCTAGCTTTCTCGAGCGCCAGCAAATCTATGGAGAACGACAGAGGCGAGTATCTTAGAGGCAACTGAGGTCAGATTTATCCCTCTATGATTTTTACATTCGGAACTTGGCCCCCCTTGAAAATCCGGACTATTACGAAGATGCACCAATCTGTTGGGACAGTCTCTCGCTCCTGCACCTTCATTAGTAAATCATCGACAAAAGCAGGTTCCCTCCCCAGAACCATAATTTCCCAAACTCATACCATCGTTTACTTTATGGCATCATATGCTGTCTGGACTACATACTGATAACTGAAGTAATAGGATGATTTAAACGACAATACGTCCGGAAAAGCACCATTCGGCCTTTTCACCCTTTCGGGAGTCATCAGCAGCAGTATGCAATACTGACTATCCACGAAAGGATGAGACTGCAGTCTATTCCTGTTTGAGACCAGTTGTGATGGATCCAACTTACTGTGGATTCCGTTTAGTGGCTGTTGTTTCTATACATCAGAATACTGGGACTGGTAAATCTGCTTTTCGGGATGACAAAATCTCATCTTATGTATGATCATCATTGTTGGTTACACAGTCGTCACGAAATTGCTCTCGCAAAGTCCGTGATGATACAGTCACCGAATTGTCCTGTCACTATAATCGATTCGAGTCCTTACGATTCCTCGCCGACTTAACGGGAAACGGTTGGCTTATTTTCGAAACTAGTGACGTAATTCTGCCATTCGTGTCCACTACGTTTTTCACGAGTAATTTTTCAAAGGAGATCACGACAGTGCAACTTCAGTTGCCGTATGGACCAAAGATGCGGTTGTCGTTTATTGAAATCAGTTTGGTACCACTTGTCTTTGGTCACCGGTATCTACTGACACTACTCATATTTGGGCGGGTACTGTGACTATTGATGAAACTTCTAGGTTCGGACGGATACTCCACATCATTTTCATCAGACTAAGGCGTATTTAAATCTTCTAACTATTCCATCATACAAGCGCGTTTGGTTTGCAACCACAAGGTCAGCGGTTCGAATCCGCGTAGGAGTGGGCGTCCTCGCGGTATACTCAGCCCGCGCGCGGCTGTTGGTGGTCGCGCGGCAGCGAAGCGCCGTTGCGGCGTACTGCTGACACATTATTATTTTATCATTTATTAGATACGTTTCTACCAGAAACAGGGGAAAAGTCCTATCTGACTCGTGGAATTTTGTCGCGTACTACAACCGTGAGATGCGGTATCCATTAGGACCCCACTGACATTTCTTGTGGATCAACAACCCAAAAAGTTTTCTTGCATCTACTCTACAAGTCTAACGGTAAACGAAGCCTCACCTTTAATTTACGACCACTAAATTTATACAGAACGGTATCTGTGCGGTATTTGCTGCGGTCCGCCACATGTCGACTGACTGTATACTCTCATTTGGTTTCCCAGAATCTACAGGTTGGTCACAAGTGAAACAGACAAAAAGCTACGGATTGCTTCCATTCTTTAGGGGACGTACCTGTTCTCCTCCTACCAATCCCTAACGCAATGTTTAACAGTACACCAACACTGTGTTCCTTTTTTTATAAAACCCAACCTTTGCAAAAGGTGTGCTTTAACCCTACTTGGATGGTCCGGTTGACAGTTGGGAACATCTGGCTTCAGAGGGTTCTCAGTGGGCCTTACTAGCCTTGAGACCACGATCATACCCATGGCTGCCATATTGTGTAGCCACCTTGGACTTTACTCACCGAATATATACGCAGGTAGTTTGTACCTGGTCAATGCGCTTTATTTGATCGATGAACCAGTTGGTTCCAGATTATTTATTTTCACACCATATTGTTCTACCCATTTGTGCCATCCGACACGCTTGCGTTCTGTCTGACCAACTCCACTATTCCTGATCTAACTGACACTAATGATGGCTTGCCCATGCACGTCATCCTTCAGTATCCATTCGCGTCTTTTGCAGCTATTACCGTTTCGATTCATGCAAACAGTGGTCTACTCACAGAATTCCGTAGACACGTGTGCCCATATGTTGCCTGCAGTTTGAATTTACAAACACCGCATTCACCGGATCGTTTGCTCAAGCCCGAATTCAACGCAACGCCTCGTCGATTACTCGAATAGCGCAATACACACTCAGCATCGATGGAAGTGGCCGCTGCCCTTGGGAACCATCGGAAGTTATTCCGTCTGATACGGGAAACGGGCAGCAGGAGACCTGGTGTTAGTGAAACTATAAATGGCGAGAGTGGACAGCCTATCCATAACTTGTCATAACGTTTCGAGCGTTTGGCTGAGCATTTTGAAAGGTAATTTAATCTGCCGGAATTATTAGATTTCTCATCGGCTAGTGTTATCCCTGCTCCCTAGGTTGTCCCTTTGGATTCCCCCTCTCGCTCAGCAGTGGAACTTGAGAGCGGACTGTTGGTTGAATAAAGCCGCAGGGCCAGATGATTTTCATTCAACCCTCTTCAAATTCGGAGGCTGTGCTCTTGTTGATGATTTACGCGGATTATTTTGAAACTGTAGGAGCAGGAAACCGTCCCAACCGACTGGAACCGCTCCGTTGTTGTCCCGATTTTCAAAGGAGACTCGCGTTCGGAATGTAGAAACCATAGAGGAATCAGTTTAATCGCCATCACCTCCAAATTACTTGCCTCTGTAGGCCCTCAAAAACTGACTGGCGATCGCGAAAGCCAGATCCGTGAGGAGCAAGCCAGCTTCCGTCGCGGTCGGGAATCCATCGACCGTATTCACATTACCTCAGTTGTTGGAGCACAGTCACATATCTTGGCGTCCCACCGTTGCCATATTCCTCGACATCAAAGTTGCCTTCGATTCGGTGGATCGACGTGCTCTTTGGGACTGTCTACTCAGGAAAGGTGTGCCCGAGAAGTATGTAAATATTATGCGAGCACTTTGCGTGCGTAGCTCAGGCAGAGTGAGGGCTTACAGCTAGCTGTCGCCGCCCTTCAATATTTCCCGTAGTGTAAGACAAGGATGCCCGCTGCCACCATTCCTCTTAAATTTCGCTACCGAGGAAGTCATGGAGATTGCATTCACAGGACACGACTTAGGAGGTATGTAGCTGCTCCCAGGTGAACACGTTCTTGATTTGGAGTATGCCGACGATATTGTCATCATCTGTGACAGCTCCCAAACGTGCCAAGCAGCACTGGACAGATTACCACTGGCTGTCACTCGTTTCGGACTATACCTTGCACCCTCGAAGTGCAAAGCTTTCCTCAAAGGTTGGCAGCGACCTCCTCCTGCGCTAACGCTTGTCAGGGATCAGCTAGAAGTCGTTCAAAAGTTCAACTACCTAGATAGTTGTATCAGCGCCTTTGAAATTGAATATGAGGTCACAAACCGTATAGCAAAAGCACGAGGCGCTTTTGCTAGTCTTCGCCACCTATGGCGCCAGCGCGACATCACTCTCTCCCTGAAGGGCATAGTGTATAATGCAACCATACGTTCGACCCTACTGTACGGTTGTGAAACCTGGCCCATTAGATCAGCCGACATAAAGAGACTAGTTACGTTCGACCACCGGTGCCTCCGCATTTTGGTCCATATCTGGTGGGAACACCGTGTTCGTCACTGTGTTTATGGCGCAGGAAGAAGTAGAGAACCGCTCAGCACCGCCTGGCCGTGACTTTAATGAAAACGGTTCTTAGCTATGTTCCTACTGAGAGTTTCCCTGTGCCTGTTCCAAGTGACATTGGCCTGCTTCTCTCGGTCATTTCTCACGTACCTAACCAGACGCCATTTGAAAGGCTTGCGGACACCGTGAGATTAAGTGTCTAACGGGACATCAATCTACCAAATGCATTGATGTCGTGGTCGGTTAAATCTCGTTGAACTGCCGCTGTCGAAGCCTTTGATGCGCTTCAACAGCGGGCTGCATCTGGCTCTCATGAGCTGATCTCTGGTAGCTGGTACTCGAGTAGCCTTGCTTTGGTTTTGTAGCCTTCACAATTTCGGTTGTAGGTTCCATTTTCGTCAGTCTTGCGAAACCCGTTTGGAAGGAACCAAGCTGACGTTTTGAATCACTTTCTCATTCAAATATGAATATAATAATATGGCTTTTATAACCACTATGGCAACTCGGTTTGTTGGGTCGGTGTGCTTGTTTAAGCATTCAAAGTTCAAGTTTTATTGTCCTACCCTACATAATTGAACACTGTCCGGTTCGCTTGTTCAAATGTCCATGCCTTTTTCTGGCTCTTGCACTTCAATTTACCGTTTGGTTTGCGACTCTTTATTTATCCGATTTGGGATGAAATCGACTACTCCATCAGTGTAATGATTAGCATGCTTTAGATATATGAGTCGGGTTTTCCAAGGAATTCTTCGAGTCTGGCAAAAATGTGAGACATAGCATGCAAGTCGTGGCTAGCTTCTTCATAACTGTGGTCCAGATTACTTATTCACTTGTCAGATCTTGAGGCGATCCATGGTTTTTGATGATAATTGTGGCAATATTAGACTTTGGCACACAATTGTACCATTTATCCATAAATTTCTCTACACGTACCAAATCACTTTCATTCCTACTTTCCCCCAATTTCGTTTTAGTTTTTAGCCCAGCTGAAGTTTAATACCTTCGTCCCGAGGGTTTCCAGCATCATTTCGGTGAAGCTGATTCTTGTCGTTCAAAGACAACTTTCCCGGCCCCATTTACTTTCCTGTATGCACTGTTCATGCGACATTATGAACACTGTTCTTCTTATCTCCTTGCTTAGTGCAATAGACCAGAGCAAACCGCCTCCTATCCCGGCCACCTGTTCCGCTTGTTCATCTCCAATTTCTTGGTGATTGGTTTCACGGAATCATCTGCTCCTTGATGGGAATGATAAAGTGCTCCTCATCATCCATCTACTTTATCGCCGAAGCAGAGCACTTCCCTCCGTGTGTGTGTACCGCGTATCGCTTATGTGATCCATTCTACCGGCGGTTCATCTCGGTTGAAACATTGGTTGCATTTTGCAACAAAACGGTCTCAGCGAGGGAAGAGTGCAAATGGACTGGGCAGCAACGATGTTTTGCAATCTGATTTCATCTTTGTCAGTTTGTGCCACGAATCCTGTCCTCTTCGCCGTTCTGTGTGTGCACCTATGTGGCTGTTTGCTTTCGCACTGCCAACCAAACATCTTCATTTGCACTGTTACCCCTTCGTCAAACTCTTCTCAGGTATACATGCAGAAACCTTATTTTGTCTTTTTTGATACCTACGGTTGTGTTTTGTTACTTCTTGATCCTATACAAAACCTTGTACTTTATTCATATTGTTTTACACGAAATTCTTGGTGGTACCATGTCAGTACTCATCTACCAACCCGCCAATTATCGTTTGTTTTTATGAAGTTGTTTGTTGGGTCCTTGGGGCCACAATTTTGTTCGCCAGGGGCACAACTAAGATCTGAGTGTGGAGGGATTCTCTTCACCTCACTTGCACTCACGTCCCATGCTCTAGGGACTTCAACCATCTATTCATACAAGTTTATAATTCATGACGCTCAAACTCTACTCAGGAAGTGTTGGTCATTTTTGTTTTTCCTTGATCTTCCACCTTGTCAAACCCTACGAACTGCTCATTCATGAGTCACTTGATCCACCCTAATTCTCATAAGATCACGAATCACAGTCTACTAATTTTGCACACATCTCCTCTCAGGTATCTTTTCACTTACTCGCTTTGTTTGCTTTGTCAGATGTTTCAACTTCTATTTCTCATGTACTCCCTGACAGCGAATCTGTCTCAGTAGCACCTCTTTCAGTTGTTTCCAATTTACTACCTCAAACTCTCCTGTATTTTGTACTTTCTCACCACAATGCTTGCCGACTTCTGCCCATCCTCCATTTGGCTAGCTGCAATAGAACACATGGATGACCATTTCGCTCTTTGTGATTCAAAGCGGCCTCCATTTTTCCGAAGCAACTGGGAATCGGATCTACTACTCCGGGAGTCGCCTTCAGTTTGCCGTACAAAAGTGACAATCAAAATATTGGCCTAAGTTGACTACTTCTTACGTATGTCGTTCGGCTCACGCAAATATGCATCCTCGCACCTGCGGCCTTCCCATAGCGGTTGGCGCTTGACGTGCTCCCCTTTTCTCAGTGCTCTACTTTCACTCAGGGATGTTCAAACTTCACTCCCCCCCCCCGGTCACTTAGTCCTGCGCAACTGCGTTTGTGCCATGTGCCTTCTTAGCCGATTATGGGCATTTCTGAGGACACGAATGCGGAAGGAAGTGTTTTGTCAAGTTTATCACCCATTTTTCGATTTTCATTTGATTAACAGATTGCACTGAACACAATCTGGGCTAACCGCTTCCGTTTCCTCTGACTGGCTGTCCTCGCTCAATGTGATTTTGAGTGCCCAATATCCAATACACATATTCCTTCTTTGTATATTCTGTTCTTTAAACTTCCGCCAAACCACGTACTATGTTTACATCAGGTTCATTCAACGGGTCATCTAATTGTTTACAGGGGGTTAGTGAATCCACAATCTGACCAAAACAATCACAGGGTGATTTGAATTGACACTTTGTCAGCATGTTTTTGTTCCCAACCCAAACTGCTGGGACCGAACCACCGGCATCCATTCTGGTTGGCTGTTGAGTCGCGTTCGTTTGACTGGTGTATTGTTTATTTCTGTTTTCATTATCTAGATATTAAGAGCATCATAGGCATTAGCGGTGCATCGGTATGCCGAACCGGCGCCATTTTACCAACCGGCCCGTGGCCAAATGGATAAAGAGCCTGGCTTGTTACCCACAGAGTAGCGGTTCGAAACCGTAGTTATGGACGACCTTCGTTTTCATTCCCCTGACCGCATTTTCCCTCTTTTCTTATTTACCATGCGTTGTGGCACTCTGACAATTGTTTATTGGTCAAGTGTTTATATATATATATATATATATATATATATATATATATAGGAGCAGGACGCCTTCGCCTACAAAGGGGTTATGGTGGCTTGCGCTGCACCACCCACATATCCATACACACACCCCATATCCAGTGTAAACCCGAAGCGATAAGATCGAGATGCATGTGGATGGGAGGCACATTTCATCAACGGAGCCGGCCCACACTACTTCAACATGCACAGCAGCAGCAGCAGCAGCAGCAGCGATTCATGCGTACCAGACGTTTACAAGGCGGTGGCTGGGTCGTAGTCCCTCCACACTGAATGAAACCATTCTGCGCCTAGCACAATCACGAGGACTGTGCATCTCGTCCCGTCCCAGCAACGATTCACAGTCTCCTGTATCCAGAGGTGGAGAGTGCTAGATAGGTAGGCACTTTGTCGCCATTCACCTCAAGCGCAGCCACACCATGGATATTAAACAACCGCCATAGAATTTCGGAGAAAGCAAACACGCAAACTTGACACAGAATATACAGCAGAGTAACAGAATTGAATAAACCAAATACAGAGGAATGACTTATCCGGCTGAAAAAAACAATAATAACTAATAAAATAATGTGTCAGTTGTACGCCGTAACAGCGCTTCGCTGCCGTGCGATCACCATCAGTCGCACGTGGGCTGATTATACCGCGAGGACGCCCACCCCTACGCGGATTCGAACCCGCGCCGCAAGATTACGAGACAAGCTCGTTACAAAGAGACCTGGATTAGGTGTAAGTTGGTTTAGCCCAACCGCAGTGGAGAAACATCAACCTCAGCATGTGGTCGTGTAGTAGCGAAGCGTTGGTGCGGCGTACTACCACTGCTTTTTGACCTTAAATGGCTTATAACATTACGAACTTCGCCCTTAACTCCAATCGGAAGTCGATGTGGAAGTGCTATTTTTCGTTGATCGGGACAACGTTGCTAAAGGCTGCAAGAAAACAATATGACTATAACTCACCAAGTCTAAGTTATGATTAACAGAACGGCACATTCAATACACGAAGAATCGTTTTGGCTCCTTGTTCTGATCCTTAGCAATTGTCTTCATCGTGAACAAACCACTCTTCTTAGTTCGCTAGCTTGCTAAGTATTGGTTAGTGTTTAACAGACCATTCTTATCCTACATAAGAATGATCATTCCTTTCATGTGCTGCGATATGCACCAGTCATCGATTATGCAGCCCACAGAGACGACCCTATATCTGGATACAGTTAGCCATATTGACGGAAAGACGGTGGAGTAGCGGATGCATCTCCCACCTACCGAACAGTAACTGTAGTAGAAAGATGCACACATATTGTTACCAAGGTCTCATCAGTCTGTCACCTTGTCTACTAAATGGTTTGTTTCTCAGTTACATTCCCCTTGTTGTATTAGAAGAGTACTCTTCATTTAGACCAATCGGTTGCGTACAGTGGCTGTGAGGGCGAATGTTTCACCATCGTCTGTGCACCCATTTATCTGGTATCAACTAATCCAATATTAAGTAACTGACTAGGTACAGAGCTTCCATTGGATTTGTCATCCGATATCTCTCATTCGCAAGCCACGATGGTACGAGTATTTTTATTCAAAGTGATTCCTGTTCCTTGATGTACTCCATTCAAACGAATATATGAAATGAAGACATCCTTTTTGCTTTCTTAAAGGTCTTATATCGCCAGCTTCTGTATTGAATTGTGCAGCTCGGCTGGTTTGATGTTTGCTTGGTCGTTCTTGCGCAATGCGACTTACGATTTTCGTGCAATCTGTGGGCATCGTCATAATGAATTCTATGATACTGGAACATCTCTTCTGTCGTGTAACTCTCCGATAATCAATACAAATTTTGAGCAACATCAAAATCCACTGTTCCTAACTAGCAGGGTCATTTATACTGCGCGCATGAGTTCGGTGCGCTTTTCCACAGTATCGTATTTTCCCCGGTTAGCTCTCCTCCGTCCCATGCCGTCTGCTTCGTCCATTGTGTTTCATCCGAGCCACAACTATCCTTTTCGGGACTACCTTGGTCTTCGTTCATAGTAGGCAGCACCACTTCTGTGCTGGCTATCCGGCCGGTGCATTTTTTCTCATCTGTCATAGACGACACTTATCTCTCTTTCGTTCATTAGTCCTCCATGTGTTATATATACGTAAGCTACAAGCTTCCAACGAGCATTTTCCCCTTTTTAGTAGCACCGCCCTACTTTCTGTATAGTTTTCCATCACGTGGTTATTCTCATCTTGGGTTGCAAGACAGGGATCTATTTTCACTGATACTACTGATCCACAACATTCTTTCGCGTTGTTTTCTTCGGAGCTGCACTCTGTTTTATTGGAGGATTTTATTCTCCATTCTGGGTTCATAACTCTCCTTCTTCAACACCCATCACCTGGTATTCTATGTACCCATACTTTGTCTCACAGAGCTAGAGATGTGAAATATCTGGATCCCCGATCGTTCTCTTTCATAGTCGATCTTTCAGAAAAGCAGTGAACGTTATCTCAGGTTGCAGTAGTACTTTAGCCGCTGGTAGTAGTACCGTTGTTCTATGGTTACATAGACGCTGGATTCGGCCCATCACGTTCTCGATGGAAGACATGTTTCTTCATTCCAGCCACAATCTATGAATTCTCATGTGAAGTTGTCCAAAGTGGTCAACAGAGAGAGGTGACCAACAAACAGTGGTCTCGATCCATTAGATTTACATGGTAAACGTTCAATCAATGAAAAATAAAACGGTCACCTGAGCGAGACAGTCAGGATATAGAGGTGGTCAACTTTGGAGATTTTGCTGTATATACATGGCTTTTATGAGCAATTTCTTCATATTTTTACTTAACGATTCAGCTTTACGTTTGGTTGACTGGAAGAGCTAACTTAGAATATCCGATTTCATAATGAAGACAGAATGCTTCGCTATTCAGCAGTGGTTCATTGTTAGAAATATTTTCACCATCTCCTGAGTGAATTAGCTTTGTACATTGAACGGAGTGAAACTTGGCACACAAGGGTTGGCGGCTATCACAGTGATCACTAGGCCATTGTGTTCCATGAGTAGCAGTTGGAAGTTGATTGTCGGGTTTTGGAGCACCCACCGTATATCTTAGAGTTCGTCACGTAATCTCAATGGTGGCCTCGGTTGACTTTAAGATTAGCCGTTGCCATTCCGATCACTGCGGTGCTATACGAAATGGAGCCCGTACAAGGACGAAACGAGCCGTGGAGTACCGTGATGGGATAGAGCTACATTCGATACGGTCCCAATGTTCGGAATTGCATAGGCTGACTCCAAATTCAACCGAGACCGCAACTAAGATTGCGTGCCTAAATTCAAGACTCGGCAGATACTCCAAAACCTGACATGCGGCTTTGTAACTTGTTCACCACAGCATACATACTGATTAAAGCTATGGTATCTATTTCAGAGTGGTCACTAAAGTGATTGAACATAATCGAATAATTCAAAACAACTTTCCTTGAACGTCTTCATAATGCCTCGTAGGCCCTGTCAGATTGCACGCTTTGTGTCAACTCTGTGCTAAAATTTTGCTGCATAATCTTTTATGTGGCTGTTCATCCTTGGCTAGAACTTCGGTTTCCGCGCTCTTTCCATACGTGATGATTCCCGAGTGTGTCCAGCATATGAGGTCCAACACAAATGGCTACATTTTATTTTGTATAGTTAACCGGTTAGTTTTAAACATTGCATATTACAGAGAGTTGGGTTCGTTACGAAGTTGCAATCAACATAGCCAGTTTCTTGGATGGCCTCCTACCTTCGCGCCATTCTTTCGTAGTGTTCTCTCCAGCAATGTGCATACCTCGTTTTCTTCATTACAACTTCGTGGCTGTTGTATACATCTCTTAGTGAGAATAATCAATGTTGTTGCGTGAATTATAGTCGGAGTCTCCTTGGTTTACATTTGCGTCTGAAAGATGCAACTTTGGCATCATTTAAACAGGGCGCGCTTTGAATCCTGATTAGTGTGCAATGCCTAGAAAGCACTTATATAGGAACATGGCTATTCACTCGATACGGTTAAACAATGTGGAATAGTTTGTTTCCTGTGGATAACAATGGCTTGTTGTCAGTGAATACGGTTGTTTTACCACCGAACGAACAGTCGTTAAAATTTTCTATGGGATAAACTATCGCTAGCATCATCATTTTTGGCGTAACGGTGCTCGTCTCCTATTTGTGTAAACGCGGATCCGATAATCATAGCCAGGATGGATCCCAAGCAAGAGAAATGGATCAGGGTATGCGATGCCGGACGCGTCTATAATCAATTTCGCTCCTTTCAGTTATCGTTTACATTGCACTCCTGTGTTATCTTATCCCCCTTTGAATCAACTTACGATTTGGTACGCTCACGACGGCTCAGTTATTTGCTAGCATCTGCTAGCATCCCTCACGTCTATTTAGGAAACTTCTCATTTATGAATGAATCCGGTTTTACTCACCCCGTACTCAGTAGAAGTCCGTGAAACACCATCTTCGTTTT